CCTGATGGGCCTGCTCTGTGTGTGACAGGGGCAGTGCCCCAACTCCCTATCGGCCCTACTCTGTGAGTGACAGGGGGGAGCTCCTCAACCCCAATCGGCCCTACCTGAGCGTGACTGAGGGTGGCATTGCAACCTCCCGATCCCACCCTGCTCTGTGCATGACAAGGGGCGGTGCCCAACTCCCCAATCGCCCTGCTCTGAGCCCGACCAGGGGCTGCACCTAGGGATTGGGCCTGCCTTCTGCCACCCGAGAGCGGGCCTAAGCCAGCAGGTCGTTATCTCCCGAGGGGTCCCAGACTGCGAGAGGGCACAGGCTGGGCTGAGGGGACCCCCCCTTCCCCCCCACCCCAGTGCACAAATTTTTGTGCACCGGGCCTCTAGTATTATGTATAACAGGATATTGTAAAAATTAAGTTATGAAATTTTTATTAAAACATTTCTTACATACCGTTATATTGGCTGGGCCCCAAAAATATTCATTGCGGGTGGCGAGTTTGACATGCTTGCTTTAAATGTCCTTCCCATCCCCTGGTTCAGGAAACCTCAGATCATTGCTTAGTGCCATCTTTCTCAGCATTCTTCTGCTTGCGTCCCAGATTACCCAAACCTCCCCTACTCCGCCGCCCCCAACCTCATTCGTTTATTGAGCTCAACATTAATGCTGAACATTAAGTGCTTCCTGTATAGTTTATCTTTCCCAAGCAGCATCTATCACAATTATAATTTTGTTATTATCGTATTACTGTTTCCTTCACTAGTAGGTGAGTTCTATGAAGTGGGGAAAGAATCTGATTTATCCTTTGCTGTACAGTGGGGCCTTGACTTATGAGTGTCCCGACTAACGAGTTTTTTGAGATACCAGCTGTCTCTCGGCAGATTTTTTGCATTGAGTTGACAGAGTAATTTGAGCTAACGAGCTCCTTAACGAGCTCGGTCTCAGAACGAATTAAACTCGTAAGTCAAGGCCCCACTGTATTGTGCTGGCACAATAAGTAGTAGTTGATTTCCAGCCACTCTTAGTCCTTTCTTAGGCTGAGGCCTTTCCTAACATGCACTGGGAACCGCGGCTTTTCGGCAGGAAAACTTATTTACTTCTTTCACAAATCTTATGCCATGGCGCCTGCTAAATGATAAGTGGGAGGAAAAGGAAATTCCACTATCACTTTGACCCACCCCGGTGGCTTCTGCTTGGCCAGCCCTTCCGGCCAGGCGCAGAGCGCAGGCACGTAGGCCAGAGTAGCGCTTCCCAGGGGCGCGCACTGGGTCACGAGCGTCAGAGACGACCACGCCCACCCCCGAGGGGCGTAGGGACGCACGCAGACGTGCACGTACGTGCGCCGAGATGGCGGGGCTGAAAGTCTCAGGGACCGCAGGCCCGGTGCAGGGATGCACAGGCAGCAGCCAGGGCCCCAAGACGGCGTTACCCAACCCCGCCCTCGCGGCGGAGCCTGCGAGGCCTCTCGGCGCTCCGCCGGCAGCCTGGGTGCACTGACCTTCCGGGGACACGGCCGAGCGCAGCGCCGCCGCCGCAGGGGTGGCCCTGAGACCGTCCTTCCGCCTCAGGTTCTCTGGGCCACTCAGCGCCTACGCCCCTGGCTTTCCCTGCCGCGGACCAAGGTCCGGACGAAGAACACGGGCCCCGTGGGGAGGCACCGTCGCCTTCCGTAGTGGGCGGGGCTTCGGGGCGGGTCTTTTAAAGGAAAGGTGACCCGGGGAGGAGCGCTTTTCTGGCCCCAGATGAATCCCTCCGACAAAAATAATGCAGAGGGCGAGGTTTCTGCGGGCAATTGCTACCCACCTGCCCTGTGTCTCCAGCGCTTGGGAGGAAACTCGTGTGCCGAGTTTGTGGCGATCAGAGCTGTCCTCCTCTGGTTGCATCACGTTGCGCCGGCCTCGGAGAACTTTCATAAACGTCTTTGGTGTTAGGTCTGATCAGAGAACCGATTCCCCTCCCCTGGGAACTGACCTTTAGGCCTCTTCACCATGGGCACTCCCCTTGCTAAGAGTCTCTCCCCTCCGGAGTTTCCTGGAATCCAGACCTGCACAGAGAATTCTCCGCCCGGAAAAAGCCCTTTAAAAACCTCTGACGCCCCATCTTTGGGTGCTGGCGCCGTTTGGGGGCTCAGCCCATCTTCCCCCTCAGGACCCGCCCCGAGAATTCTGCATCTGGAAAAGGCCGCCTGGAGTCCTTTAAAATCTCACTCTCTGTCCTTGGGTGCTGGTGCCGGTTGGGGGCTCAGCCCATTTGGGTTTCCAGGTGGCCTGATAAATTCATAGTTCTGTACCCCTCTTGGCCTCGTGCGTTCCTCCTTCCGCGACCCTCACATTTTGTATTTAATGAAGTATTTCATAAACCTCTTTCTAATTATTTTGAGTCAGGGAGCACTGCTGCCGTCCGGCAGGTGAGCCAACAGGCTGGGAAGTGAAAGGCTTCCCTGAGCCGCTGGTGACACACAGTAGGCCAGCCGGATCCGAGCTTGTGGTCGCTGGAGCCGGGCTGGGACGCGTGTGGTTCCGGGAAGTGTAACCGGGAGAGCTGCCAACCAGCCCACAAAGGGGAGAACTCGGCAGAGCGGCTCTCGGCCTCTGGTTTCTCACCTGCCTGTCCCGGACCCGCCCCTGGGCCCTGGGCCCACCCCTGCCCCTCCCATCTCTTCAGTAGGAAATTCCCCGATGGCAGAAGGAGAATACAGTTGTGATTTAGTGGAGCCACATACGTAGAGAATACTTTCATTTATCATATGAGAGGGACATTACATTTATTGAATACTTGTAGTCCAGCGGAACACATTGCTGTAATCTCATTAATTGCTTGATTCGGGTATTACCTCTTATTACAGATGAAGAAACTAGTTCGACCTTACATAACTGTGAGCACAGAGACCACGTCTCAGGGTCCTCATCAAGTCCCAGTCTGGCACTGTAAGCACTGATATTTGTTGAAATAGTAAAGTGGGAAACCCAGAAACTTACCTTAGTGACACAAAGTTCAAGGTTAATATTTTCGTGTTGGCCATTTCCAAGTTAAACAAGAGAAGTAGAGATTCATTTTATTCTACAAAATTAATACCAAGATAGAAGTTTGGTTAGTGGCGATACGGAGACAGAGTGACTAGCACATACCTTGAGAAATGGTGGGTGCTCAGCAATATGTGCCCACACTTAGCATTTACCTGGCCAGCCACTGTCCTGGGTGCTTTATTTCTATCAAGTCATTTCATCCTCGGGACAACCTCATCACCCCTTGCACAGAGGAGGGAACTGGAAATAAAGAAGTAATTTGCCCAAGGTCACACAGCGAATGGAACCGAGAATAAAAAATGCAGGCAGCCTGGTGCGAGGGTTGGTGCTCCTGATGCTGACTGTCCCTTGTGCTGGTGAGTGAAGCAGTGGGCTTACAAATCTGTGAAGATAGTAAGTGGAAAGTATAACATCGATAGAAGAGTTTAGTACCCAAACCGAGGACTTGACATTTGATAGGATTATCATTTGAATGATCCTTGGTACCTGAGCTACCTGCCAGCATCCCTTTTGTGGCCCCTCTTTGAAGGGATATTGTTTACAGCAGATAAAATGGGAAGTTTTCTAGACTGCCATTGTCAGATGTCGCAAGAAGGAGGTGAGCAGAAAAGGGGGAGAGGGGTTTTGCAGACGTGTCCTCAGAAGCTGTTTTTCTTTTTTTAATCTCTTGAACTCTGCTTTGACCTCCAACTGAAATAAGACCTGACAGCTTTTATAGAGTCATTGAGAGTCTCACTTTGCAGTCCCTTGAATAAAGATAATAAAGCAGGCAACTGGCTATTCCAGGACTTGCTAAGGCACATTTCTGGGTTTGGGGAAGTAATATTACTATGTCACAAATCTGTAAACTCTCTGATTCCATATGTGCATAGAAGGGGATTCTCAGAAGTGTATAGAGCTTCCCCAAAGTTATTGTTTGTACCCATAAAAGTTACTAAAACACCAGGCTGTTAGCCTGATGCCACAATAACTGCAACAAGTACTTGAAGGAGCTGAGCTTACACTAGTAAATCCTGTGTTTATTTTGAAGTTAAATAGATGTGACAAAGTGTGTGTAGGTTCAAATATTCAGTATATTCCTAGACAGTTATTAATGAAGTATAGTTAGTTTGTATGCACCTCCTCCATTAGATTGTAAGCTCTTGTTAGGGCAGTTTTGTTGAAACAGGGGAATTGAAGTCTATTGTGTGAAATCTAATCACCACTAAACAAACTTCTATTTTGGTACTAGGGAATAATTTTGGTAGAATAAAATGAATGTCTAATTCTTGTTTAACTTGGAAATGGCCAACATGCAAATATTAACCTTGGACTCTGGGTCACAGACACATGAGTTGTTTCTGGGCTTCCCACTTCACTATTTCAACAGATATTCACGCCTAAAGTGCCAGCCCTGGGACTTGCTGAGGAGACAGAGTGGACTTGACGAGGACACTTAGACTGGGTCCTTGCTCTCATGGAGCTATTTAAGGCTGAACTAGTTTCCTTATCTGTAGTGCCAACCAGATCTAGCTGAGGGCATTTGTCTTAAATGGCAGTAACTTTCTCATTTTATTTAAAAACATATATATATTATTGATTTCAGGGAGAAAGGGAGAGGGCGAGAGAATCATTGATGGGCTGCCTCCTGCACACCCCACACTGGGGATCAAGTTCGAAACCCAGGCATGTGCCCTTGACTGGAACCAAACTTGGGACCCTTCAGTCTGCAGGCCGACACTCTATCCACTGAGCAAAACCCGCTAGGGCAACTTCCTCATTTTCTAAGTGCCAGCTTAATAACTGAGAGGACCCATGCTCTCCTGAGCATATGTCTACAAATGTGTCAAAAGGGACACAGAAAGCCAGGTGTGGGATAACTCATCAAACTTCCTGAAGATACTGTCTGTTCTCATAGTATCTGAAAGCTGGAAGCCTTCTTACGGAATCTCCACTATTTACCCTCAGGCAGAATTGTGATGAATCCACTCTAAACATGTAAACATCCCTACACTTAAAAAGAAAAACAGAAAACTCCATCAAGGTGGTTTGACTTCCATCAGTAACTCATTCACTGTTTGGAAGGACTTAGGGGATCTTTTCCTTTAAGTAACCTAGATTCATCCTTCGGCTATTTATGCTGCTTCCTCAGAAGAACTGGAGAACATGTGGTGACCACATCTGTGTTAAAACCCCTCATGTACTCTTAAACTATCCTTAGATTCAGAATAAATTTCTTCATCATGTGTAAGATTTCCCATAACATTAGACTCCGGATTAGGCTCTTGACACAAAATGATGGCACCAATCATTAAAGTATGATAGTGGCCCTAGCTGTTTTGGCTCAGTGGTTAGAGCATTGGCTCTTGGACTGAAAGGTCTCGGGTTCGATTCTGATCAAGGGCATATACCTTGGTTGCAGGCTTCATCCCCGGCCTCGAGGACACATGCTCGAGGAAACCAATCAATGCACCTCTCTCCTGTCAATGTTTCTCTCTGTGTGTCTCCCCCGCCCCCCCCCACACACACCCCACCTTCCACTCTCTCTAAAATTCAATAGGAAAAAAAGTATCCTCAGGTGAGGATTAATAAAATAAATAGATAAATAAAACATGATTGATGCTGGCTGTGAATGAGCAAAATAAATTTGTCCAAAATGAATGACATACTTTTTTTTCAGAGGCAGGAAGGGAGGGGGTTGGGGGGGGGGGGGAAAGAGAGAGAGAGAGAGAGAAAGAGAGAGAGAGAGAGAGAGAGAGAGAGAGACTGACCTTGATCTGCTACCTCCCGCATGCCCATTACTGGGGATAGAGCCCAAACCTCAAGCATGTACCCTGGCCGGGAATCGAACCAGTGACCCTCTGGTGCACACACGGGACAACACCCAACCAACTGAGCTGCACCAGCCAGGGCTTTAAAAAAAATTTTTTTTTAAAAAAGCTTTCATGTCTTCTGAATAAAAGAATATTTATATATGGAAGACCCATTTATCTTATGTGAAGAGTCTCTTGTGCAACTGAATGAAGCAGAAAATAGGTTCAAAAGTCTCCTTTGGAAAAACAATAGAGCCATGTGTTTCCATTTCAAAAGTATTGAGTTTTGGGGGGATTCAGGTAACTTTGGTCATTTTTAAACTCTTAATGCAAATAATTTCCTTTACCATCATAGGATCTCATGCAGAAACAAAGAGCTACTATAGGAAACCTTACAAAACGTACAAGGTTTACTACTGTGTAAGTCAAAGCAAAACCCAGTTATTAGTCAGCATTTTACATTTAAAATATAACTAGAGAAAGTTTTAAACACCCATATGAGATCTTTTAGTCACAAGGATATTTAAGGAAGGCAGATGGACAGCAAATTTAATGTTAGTGGTAAAGCAAATTTGTACGTTCACTGTTTTTCACATTTGAGGGAAATGGAATTAAAGGCAAATTATTCCATTTTGAAAAGTTCATCAAATGTGGAGTTTTACATGCTTACTGTATAGGGAAGACTTTCCACTGTACGTTTCAGTCATTGTTGGACTGCTTCTCCCCCACCCCCACCGCCAAAGTTGCTGCAAAGATTTTAAAGGCTGTTTTGTTGGCAGCCTAGGATGCATCCGTGACCTTACCAAAGTGGAAGTGAAAGCTCTCAGTTTTCCTTCTTTCTTTCTTTTTTTTGCAACAGTAAACCTACTAATTTTACAGTCAGTTGAACAGCAATGGATCAATTTGTTTAAAGTCTGCATTCACAAAGAAAACCTGAACTTCAGTGGCTTGAATGCCTGACCGGCAGTGTGATGGCTGAAGGGTAGACACTTACAACTTGCTCTGGAAAGAGGCCGGCAGTGCACTGTCACCTGCTCCTCCGCACAGGTGCTGACCCCTCGGTCGATTCCGGGCCTCCTGACGGGGTAGAAGGAAGGCTGGGCCTTTGTGTG